GGCTCCGGCGACGTGCGGACGCGGGAATTGGCCGCCTTGCGGACGCTCCGCCCCTTTGCGAAGAGGTCTGGGAAGTCGGGGTCTTTGAGGTTTCGCCGCAGCCTCTTTTCGGTTTCAGTCTTCCGGTCTCCCCTCTTCTGATTGGGCTCTAACTTTTTGCCCTATTCCCCGGTTTGAGGGTGGCCAGTGGGAAGCCCCAAGGACTGAGGCTGGGGGTTCCTGAAGGACGTTTGCCGGGGTACAGTCTATTCCCAGAGGTGTCTCTGCCCTGCTTCAGACCTGCCTATTTTTGTTTATTCTTTCCAGTGGTCTCATATTTACTCTAGCCTTAGTGAAAGGAAACACAAGGAGATAAGGTATGCAGATAGGTGCAGAGTAATCCAGGAAGGGCTGAAAACCTAGTTAATGATACCACAAAGCTCTGTAGGCACACGTGGCCTTTTGCCCATTAGTTGCCAAACTTATTTGGCTTACTGCTTCCTTTACAGAAAAACAAAACAAAACTCAGCTGCTCCTTGGCAATTAGAACCCCCTCTTTTATTTTAGCCAGGGTAGAGTGTAAGTTATCTGCTTTTGCAGCCCTACTGAGTCGTTCCAGAGCACCCCAGGTATCACCCATTTAGGAAATACTGCCCTAGACATGGCCGGAAGAGGTTCCTCATCGTTTGCAAAATAAGTAATTAATTAATTAAAATAAGATCCCTTTGGAATAGAGTAAGGGAGCTGCCACCGGTAGAACCCTACCTAAGTCAAAAGATGGGAGAACGTCTAGGCCTCTTAGGTATTGAGCATCTGTCTGGCCAGTCTGTGGGGAAGCTACTGCTTCCTTTAAAATCCCTCCTCCAGTAGTTCTTCATGGTCCTGCCAAAGGGAACAAGAGTGTGGCCTCTGAAAGCTGCTTGGCTGGCCTGGAAAACCAGACCCTCCATCTATTAACTTTGTAAACTTGGACAATTTTTTTTTAATCAGCTTATTAGGGCTCATACAACTCTTATCACAATCCATACATACATCCATTGTGTAAATCACATTTATACATTCATTGCCCTCATCATTCTCAAAACATTTGCTCTCCACTAAAGGCCCTGGCATCAGGTCCTCATTTTTCCCCTCCCTCCTAGCTTCCCCCTTCCTCATGAACCCTTGAGAAATTATTATTTTGTCATATCTTGCCCTATCCGACGTCACCCTTCACCCACTTTTCTGTTGTCAGTCCTCCGGGGAGTAGGTCACATGTAGATCCTTGTAATCAGTTTCTTAACAGCATGCCTGGCAGAAATAATGAACAACTGTACCTTTGTCTAGTAGGTGTAAGACTGCTGATTTCAAGGTCAGGGGTTGAAATCCACCAGTCACAACAGGAGAGGAAGATGAGGTTAGCTGCTGCAGAAAGAATGTAGGAGGCCTGGGAAGCCCTAAGAGTTGCTATGAGTTGGAAGGAACTGGGTGGCAGTGGATTTTATGTTCGTTGGTTTCCCACTTTCATCTGCTTACCAAAACCCACACCCACTGTCATCGACTAGATTACGAGTCCTCTAAATCCTATGTAAGATTTCTGAGGCTGTAAATCTTTATGGAAGGTGATAACCTTATCTTTCACCCTAGTAGTGGCTGGTGGATTGAATGGCTGATCTTGTGGTTACTTCTCAACACTTGGCTGATAACACCGCCTGCTTTACTTCACTTGCCTGCTAGGTTCTGCCCTAGTGTAGGTCAAAAAGAGTCATCCAAAAGAATTCTAAAAGGTAAAGCACATTGGGTGGTTCTAATCCAAACCTTTAGTTTTTTACAGGAGAAAAGTCCAGAGAAGTAAATTGATGTGTTTCCTATAGGAGAGCAGGTAGCCTGGCGTCTTATAGCCGACACCTGGAGACTCTTCTTACACCTGTACCTCCACCCTCTTCTCTCTTCCCCAACTTGTGTACAGTTACTGCCCAGCCTCACCTGCTTCTCTTTCGACAGCTAACCTTGTTGCCATTGAGGTCACTCTTGACGCATGGCAGCCCCAAGCATTTCTGAGTAGAACTGTGTTCCATAGGGGTCTCGATGGCTGATTTCTCAGTAGGTCGTTAGGACTTTCATCTGAGGCACTTCTGTGTGGACTAAAATCTCCAACCTTTCTGTTAGCAGCTGAGTACATTAGCCATTTGCACCACCCAGAGATGAAAGAACAACTTCTGGGTGGCGCTATGGATGAAGCATGGGGTTGCTAACTACAGGGTTGGTGGTCAAACCCACCGGCAGCTCTGAGGGAGTGTGATGAGACTACCTGCTTCCGTAAAGATTTACGGCCTGGAAGCCCCAAGGAACAGTTCTATTTTTTCCTAGAGGGTCACTGTGCATCAGAAGTTACAGTGCTCCAAATAGCAAGCAAAACAAGTGAAAACATCTAGGACTGTCACATTGTAATTTTATTGAAAGATATAATGAATATTTTACAGTAAAAGAAAAGGAACACTTTTAAGTATGGTCCCTGGGGAAATTACTGGCAAGAAGGAATGATTATATGAGCAGTACTGGATCAAATTACCTACCTTTTTTTTGGTGGAGGGGGAGCTATTTATATATTTGAAAATGTTATTGTTTTTTATCAAAATGATTTACGCATATTCAAACAAATTCAAAATGGAAACAAAAATTTAAGAGATATATTTACATTAACTGTTTATTTCATTGGGATATATATATATATATATATATATCCAGATATAAAATAATAAATGTCTGGTTTTGTTTCTCTAGAGAACCCTATATAACACAGAAAGTAAAAAGCTTCATCTTTCTCCCAAGAAGGGGCTGATAGTTTCAAACTGTCAACCTTGTGGTTAGCAGCCCAATGTGTAGATTCTACATGTGTGTGTCTACACACACACACAATATCCATAGACTGGGTCATACTATACACAGTAATTTAATCACTCAAAACTATGTCATAAATCCTTCAAAAGTTGTGTAATATCCATTGAAGGAATATACCATCACTTAACCAGTATTCTGCTGATTGACGTTTTCCCTACAAAAAAGTTTTACTAATATGAGCAACTCATTGACGAACTTTATTGTCTGAGTTTTCCCAGCTGTGCCATTATCTCTGTAGGCAAATCCATAGAATTTTAATATCAGGTAATTCTTCACTGCTATCAACTAGAAAAAAGAAATGTGTGGTTAGTTAGAAAAATACACTGCATGTGGGATTCAAAACTGACCAGATTCTCCCACTTGAAAAACATAAGCCTTGGACAATATAGTTGCTTGCCTTATGTCTGTTTTTTGTTTTGCTTTTTTCAACAATGTGTGTCCAAGCTCCTAGTGTAGGTTGGTAGACACTGCTAGTTGTCTAAATCAATCTCCGTTATCCCTGGCTAACTGAACTCTGATTTTTTTCCCCCCAAGTTGACAATGTATCCAGTTACAAATACTCATCTCCCCAGATTCGTGTAAGACCATGGGACCTGTCAATGTAATGAAAGTAGACAGAGGACCCTAAGAAGAGACTCAAGGAAAATTTTAAAGAAAATTTAGCCATTTGACTCATATTCATTCCTTTCTTACCTGGAATAGGGATGTGACGCGGGATGTGGAGCAAGTATATTTCAATCACAATAACAATAATAGGCCACACTATAAATAGTGTAGGTAGCCAGAGGTTTCTGGGGTTTTAATTGCTTAGCAAGACCCTGTAATCAGCTCTACACTGCCCACTTTTGGTTTCTCTCTCTTGTTACTTCAGGAAAAATAAGCCCCTCATTTAAAGTTTTGTCATTTGGATTTTCTATTGTAAGCCTTAAATGTCATTCCTGATTGATGCACTGAGACAGGTCAAATCCCCATTCATTTGGCACCATATGAAGAATTTTTTAAAAGTGAGATGAAACCCCCACAGAGGGGTGGCAGGGGAGGGTTGAGTCAATCAGGATGCAGTAGAGCACTAATGGGTCCGGCAATATACCTCTGATCCCTGGAGGCCTCCTCACCCCTCCTGCCCCCCACCCCCGCTATCATGACCCCAGTGCCGCTTCCCATCTAGACGAGACGGGAGCATGTACATAGGTGTAGGCAAGAGATAACACTCACAGACATGGAACCAGGAACGGGAAGGGAATAGAGATACAAAAGGGTGGGGGGAGGGGGGA